GCCCCTCTGAGCCCCCCCCCAGCCCCCCAGACAGACCACGCACCGCCGCCTTTCCTACGCCAGGTTTATTTAAAAACACTGTTAACTGCTGTCCTAGGGAACAGTTCAACTAGCGGAGGAGGCCAGACTACGTTTAATACAATACCTTAAATAGAATACAAATATAAAATGGAAGAATAAAATATTTACAGAAACCACGGCATACACCAAATCCCGTCTCCACGGACTGAGCCTGGGCGAAGGCTGACGGCAGAGCAGGAGGGGGAAGCCTTCCTCGCCGGGCTCTTGTGCACTTTTCCTCTCTCCCAAAGTCCCTCCCGTCCACGCTGGCAGGAGAAAGTCCTTCAGCAGGATAAAGGTGACCCTCCTGGAGCCAGAACAGCAGTTTTCTAAAATTTGGTTTCAAACCTTTCCTCTAGGAACTAAGACATCACAGTGGATTATCAAAGCACACAAGTGTTTTCTTCCAAAGAGAACGTATTTACAATCAACTCAAAACTGATTTTTTCCTCTGCCAGCAGCGAATGCCTGAGGGCCCCTGTAGCTTCACAAATCATAGAAGGAAGAGACTAAAGTTCTTCAAAAGTTTAAGAAAAATAATGTGAAATATATCTGCGAGGGTGGCAGGGTACACAATACACCCCAGTCTCAGCTGTTTTCTGCAGGGTCACAAATTCAGACAGCACCAAGACAGACCAGTAACCTCCAGCACGTACTTTGACACAGAGCTCAAGCCTCAGCACTGAAGCAGGGGACACCGACGGGACGGGCACACCCCGAAAAGGGGAGCAGGGTTGGTCCTGCACCAGTACCAGGTTCCAAGATTGCTGGGCCAGGGCACACGGTCCCCCAGAAGTCAGTGCCACATGGTGACAGGTCAGACAAAGCCTCCAGTGTCTGAACATGAGTCCCAACAGCCGCCGCTCCCCGGTGGAAGATGAGGCAGCAGCTTGGGGGAACGATTCTTAGAACCAAGAGGCACTTAAACCAGTTCTTAATTTACTGCAGACTATGAAAGGAATTGTTGACTATCCACCCCAGAATCCTATTTTCATCAGCAAAAAAGCACCAAACCCCTCCCCTAGGCTTTGGTACAACAAAACGGGCTGGGGGTTTTCTGGCTGTACTGCAGAGCTGCTGCTTTTCACAGATATTGTATCATCCCTGATAATTCAAAGTAAGGCTGGATGGACTGACCCCAACCACCACCCCTGGCAGCACGTTTGGTCCAAAATACTAAGAGCAATTGTTCCGCTCCCTCCCACCCTGACGTTTTCATTGTTACCCTAAAAGATGAAAGTCAAAATGATAGCATACATAAATAAAACTCAAGAGTTGACATAGTAACTCCAGGCTTTAGATATCAACTGTCCAAGAAACAAGAATATCAAAGCTTTGAAACACGCTGAACGTTGAGTTTTGCCAAGAGGGGGGAGGAAGGAAGAAGCTTCACGTTTAAGCCTTCAGAGCATCACTGAATCAGTAAGTCAGTTCACAACCACCACAGTTCGTAGCTGGGCACGTCCCAAAATAAACAAGTGCTTTGTCCTCTTAATGCCGAAGGTAGCCACCGATAGTTACAGACGGGATGCACACAACCTTGACTCTGACCAGCAGGGAAATTTAGGACAACTGAGTGCAGATACTGCCAATTTCTACCAGTTCAGCTGTGCTTTAAGACTCATTGCAAAGCCTCAGCTGTAAGAAGGATCACCTCTGGGTATCCATCAAAATATGCAGTTTTTTTAAATTTTTTTTTTTTTTTTTTTTAAAAAAAAACCCTTGAAGACTAATGCAGTTCAGCTGTCAATCATTTCCGACAGTTCCAGGAGGAGGTCATCCTCATCCTTCCCTGGGTCCAGGTCAATTTCTGCTTCCAGTTTGCCTCCTGAGATTTCCCAAATAAGCTTCTCAAAGTCATCTTCTACAGATAAGGGTGCTTTCCCAGCCCCTGTGGAGCTCAACCGGCGTGTCTTTACTGCTACTTGTGGAGAAGCTGAAGTTGAGCTTGAGACCTCTGACTGTGCCACGGAGTCTGCCTGGCTTCCAAGATGCAGCTCAGGACTTGGAAGAACAAGAGAGAGAGCAAATCAGTGTATGACATTCTGTAACCACAGAGGTGTTTTCTGCAAACCAACTCTCAAAACTAGTTAATCCCTCCCACTCCTCAACTTTACACAGGGTTTTTTACTCAGTTAACCTGGGGCTACTCTCAGAGACCAATATAGGTACATTTTTCAGTCTGGAGATTTATTCATGAAGGCAGAGCATTTGGGGTCTGGCAAAGAAGTTCAATTTTTGTAGCCAGAGACACTATGCCACCTTTACTAAATGACTATAAAAAGGTTAGTAAGTCATCCTCTGCAGGCATTCAGAAAAGCCAAGAAGTCACTGAAAAGCTGTATCAACTTCAAGTATTTTAAGAAAAGAATCTAAATAAGCATTCCAGCTAGCTGCTAGAAAATTATTTCAGATAAATTGTTCCTTTGTTGGATATTGGCATTAACTATCTCAAAACTCTGATTTTTCTACATGTGAAAAAAAATTTCTACTTCATGCAAAAGATACACTGATCAAGAAAAAGAACAAGCTTTGGATTGTTACCTGGCTTTGGGTTTCTCTCTCCCAGGTATGGAGACCAGGCTGTCCTCTGGCAAAGCAGGAACAACAGCCTAGGAAAAAGCAAGATGGTTTTTATGATACACAGGTAAAGGACTTCTTAGTAGATTCTTCCTCTGCTGCTTCTCCTCTGGCATTGCTGAGCCTTAACCAAAATTAACCAGGGAACTCCTGAAGAAAAGTTAGTACTTACTTCAAGTTCACTAATGGCCTTATGTCTTTAAGAACACAGTATTAACAGACAAGATCCTTCACTCCACAGAAAAATCAGCAGAGTTATTATGTAAATGTTGCCATTTATGTAATAATTAGCAGAAAGGTACTACAACCACCCTGTAGACCACTTCTGGGTTCAAAAGGGAACCGACACTCATAGAACATTTCAGTTTTCCATCTTTTCCCCAAGGGGAGGGTAAAACTTGGGCATAAATTCTACTAGGGACCCACTACTGCCTCAGCCACTGTCCTTACCACAGCTGCTTTCTTAGCTGAAGGCTCTTTTGTATCCCCACCAGTGGTGCTCAGAGGTTTCACAGCTGCCACAGCAGAGGGGTGACTCTCAGCTGCCTTTCGTTTCAGTGTCTGCTTTGTGGGGGAGGTGGTCTTCCCATCCGAAGGCTTCAGGCACACCTTAGATTTGGCTACAGTAAAAAGAAGAGAGAACGGATACAGTCTTGCTCTGCCTCAGGATAAAACCAAAACAGGTTCTCTTAACAGTATCATAATCCTTCCAGTTAAGTATATATGGCCAGCACAATTTCCCAGATTCTCAGCTCTGTTTTCTACATAGTAAACTCTAGCTTACCAACGAGCCATAAAAAGGAGCAAAGAAGTTACAAAAAGGAGACAGAGTTACAATGAGAAAACTGTCATTATCTGCCTTTTTTTCAAAACATGCCCTAAAATAACTCTTCGATGTACAGTCAACACTTACTTTTAGCTTTCCGTTCCAGCAGCTGAGCTGCCTGTTTCCCTAGTGATACAGCAGCATCCTTTCCTGGGCTTTCAACCCCATCTTCCGGAGATTTCACCAATACCTTCTTGGCAAGTTGATAGGCTGACCCTGAAACCACGCTGGATTCAGGACTCCCTGATGATGGAGTTTTATCCTTGATTGCTTTTTCAATGGGAGATGGCACAGCAGCTGCCTCTTTCTGAAGCTTCTCTTCTTGGCGTTGTTTCAGTTGCCGTTTCTCCCTCATTATCTCTTCAAGGCTCTTCACTTTAACTGCAGAATTAGTTGCACTGTGATCAGAGGGCTAGAAAGAAACCAAAGAAGAGGACTAATAGGACAAAAATCTATGGAGATTTTGTTAAGAAAATCCAAGCGGTAATCTCTCCAAAATGGCTCCATGTGGAACAGAGCATGTTAATACCTTTCAGATCTGATTATTTTTTCCATGCTTTTCTATGGAAATACTGTTTGAAAAGCCTGCAATTCCCAACACAGCAAGCTTCTTTAATAGAGCAGAAGACTCTAGCTGTAATCTATTACATTCTTTTTAAGCAACAGAGAATCATGCAAGTTCTCCCATCCAGCAGTCACCGACACAGATTTCCTCCAATACGAAGCTTGAGCCTTTTCTATTAAAATACTTACCTCAGGATTTTAAACTATCCTTTCAGTCTGATAAAGTCACAGAGAACAAAAACATTCCCTCCACATTAACCTCGCAAATTTTATCTGGGGCTAATAGGGTCGTCTTATTCACTGTCAGGCATAATAAGATTAATCCAAAGCTCGAGGATTACAATGTTGGCTGGAAATGCTACTGAAAATGAAAGGGCTTACGACTTCACTGCAGTGCTCAGGGAGTGCAGGAAGGAAGGAACACACTCAAACTGGGAGAACGCAGCAAGTTACAAACAAAACAATAAATCTACCAAAAGTTGTATGAATATATGCGTATCTTCACAAAGGACTCACCTCTGCAGGTGCAGAGACGGCTTTGGGAGAAGACTTGTTAAGTTCCACTACCTTCTTTTCTTCTCTTCCAGGTGCTTTAATGCAAGGAAAAAAAAAAAATTTGTCCACAGCAGAAATAAAGAAACCTGTTTCTTTGGTGTGTTTATTTCCTCATGTCTAATAATGGGACAGAGGGAAAGGCTACAGCAAGCAGCACTCCGGCTCTCTTTCCCTCAATCTGTCTCTTTGTACACAGCTTATACAATCTTAACAATGACATCTTTAATGCTCTGTCATTTCTGACAAAAACTGGCCCTCACACTAAGAAGCTGATAACATGCTTTGCAAACACATATATATTGATAACATCGATAACAAAGTTAAACAATGCATATGCCCAAGAGGAAGGTAAACTTGGATTCAGCACAGAAAAGATCTTGTGCCACTAACAGATGGCAGAAAAAAAGCAGAAGAGAGAAATTAAGACTATAAAGCTCCTCAATGAATGATTTTTCCAGTGAGAAATACAGAAAATGGTCATGCAATTCATGAAAAATAATATGGCTGCATATTCTGGCACTTTCTTGCCTTTTGACTCTGTAGCCTTAAACTCTTTTTTATCCTCTAGTACACATAGAAGAAAAAAAGCAAAGCGGATCCTGAACAAACTGAATTTGCTTGATAGGGTAAGTGCTTCACCAGGGCAGGTACCAAACCATCTGATTACCTATTAGCTTTGTGATCCGTAACAATCTCCTCCCTGGTGGGGCAGGTTCAGGTTGTGCTGGTGGAGCTGGCACATTTTCTCCACTCTGCTGCATCCGCAGAGCTTTCTCCTGTTTGATTTCTTCCAAGGTTTTAATACGCACCTCTCCTGCTGGCTTGGCTTTACCTGCTGGCTCTGCCAGCTGCACTTTGCTGGGCACAGATGGAGCCAGTATGTTCTGCTTCTTGGGCTCGCTCTCAACTTTTGTCTTGGTAGGAAACTCTTCTGGTTTTGGCTTTTCTTCTTCCAATCGCTTCTGTCTTTTTTCAGTCAGGGCTCCTGAGAAAGTTTTGATGCGAACAGCTGGGGAAGGTCTTGGCCCCGAGCTGGGATCTTCTGTTTTACAACGTCCTTCAGTCTGGGGTTTAGGTTGAGGTTCTCCTCGCCTCTGAGTAGCTCTCTCAAGACGAATTTCCTCCAGTGTCTTCACATGGATCTCTCCTGTTGGCTTAGCAGCCTTCTCTGTCATCATCAAAAGAAGAGAAGCAACAACGTTTAAGGAGATTCCAACAATATTTAAAATCTCCAAAATCTGTCACAGTACTAAGGAAAACTAGGTATGAGTGTTCCCAAGAACACATCTCAGGACACTATCATTCTGCACAATATTCTCCTCCTCCTTTAAGCCACTTGTATTTGTTCCTGGCAGTGGTTCTATTCTACCTGTAAGCACAGTGCAGCTTCGGATGGTTCACAGCAGGAGCATGAAAGCTTGATGAGGGCCAAGTGGAAAACACACACACAAAACACACCCCACACACCCCCTAGAGCCAGATCTCTGGCAACGGCCATCAGGACAGCTTCAGCACTTGAGCAAGAGGAATCAGGCAGTTGTTTTTGTTTTTTTTTTAATTAACTAACAGGACTGTATGGAAATTCATATAAAGAAAAAAGGAGAAAGCATATTTAATAGCAGTTATTACCTGTCTCCATACTGGCCTGTTCAGAGGACAATCCTAGCCTCTCCTTCAGAGACTTGGGGACTTGAACTACAAGACAGGACAGAAAGAGGGAGACCGCGTAAATCTCAATTTTGTGTTCACATTTCAAAAGGAGACGGCAGATCACTGGGATCCAGAGTTACTTTAAGCCCTCAACCAACACGCAGGAATAATTAGAAGAAAGGACAAAGAGAAAACCTAAACAGAAAATCTGTGCATCAAATCCAGATGTGTTTAGCAGCTGTACCTCTCTTTGGTGCTTTGTCAGTGTTCTCCAGAATCTCTATCTTCTTCCCCAGCCTTTCAGCAAGGTTGCGCTTTAGTGGAAGGACACTTTTACCAGCTTCAGAAAAAAGAAAAAACAAGAAATACTTTAAGAACATTTCTGCAGAGGATGATTTTAGAACAGTCAGCCACAAACTTCAATTCTTCCAGATGTATTTTCTATTTCCCTTTCAGTTGCTAACAAAATTTACCATTTCTGCAGTCACCACAGATCTCCTCCAAAATGTATTTTCCCTCTGCATATAGCAAAACCACCCTTAAATATAGTCAGGTTTAGATAAGGGCACCCAAACAACAGCTCACAAAAAGCTCTTACCCATGGAGGCTTTCCGCTTTCCCAGTCTCTCAGCAAGATTCAGTCGAATCACAGGCTCCTCCCCTAAAACAAAGAATAAACTCTTTAGTGCACAGAAACCAGTAGCCAGTAAAATCACTGTCCTTCTAGCCCAAAGACACTCTTTTGGCAGCCAAACCTCATAAATAAACGACTGCAAGCAGAAGTAGTTCTACAACTATTTCGCCATTAAAAGGAATTTGTGTAGATCTAAACACGACCATTTATACAGACTCATACTGCACTACTGTCCACAACTGCCACTGTCAGCCTCTTCAATGCCTCAAAAATTGGCTGTTTGTATAATACCATCTTCTATAGGTCTCCCCTTTCATTAGTTCCCTGTTTTTCCTGTTATCCCTCTATTTGCATACTGACACTTGTTTTGACATTAGCCTCTCTCTGCTGCTACTGCACTGAACCCAAACACTCACTCTGTCACACGCTGTCAGCACATTAGCTCATTCACAAATCTCACTCAACTTCAGGAACAGGAAAGTCAAATTAAGCACATTTGAGAGTCTGTAGGATGGTGATAATATATGATTAGCTATGGCTTAATGTCAGGCTGATAAAAAACACTTCTTGATCTTTTATTGCAATACAACAAACTGAGCACCTACAAATGCCAAATCTTTCCACAACCAGGGTCTCTAAGCATTAAAGCATAGGTTTAATTAGACAAGGCAGCACCAGCAGACTAACAAGTCTGAATTATCCCAATTATTACTAAATCTTTTGGTTTAGGAGGCAGGAAATGGAAACTAGTATTCACTATTACCTTGCTTCGTAGACAGAGTCACAGTTCTCACTACTGTCCGTACATTTTCCTTTTCTGGTACAGGAATAGTCCGAGGTTGGAGTGGATGAACAGAAACTCCTGAAGGACCTTCTAATCAGATCAACCAAAACATAAGGATGTTTAGGAAAAAAAAAAAAACAACCAAACTAACCAGAAGAACTATCAACAAAGACCAAACCCATTAGTTATTCATTACTGTCAAACATACAGTGGCCAGTGCGTGTAAGTAAGAGAGATGAGGAATTTCCCCCCAATTTGCCCTTCCAAACTAGAAAACCAGCTGCATGAGTTGAGGAAAACAGGTTGCGTGCCAAAGCTGCTCAAGGCCCCCAGCTAAACATGGAAGTCTGTCCCTCAAGCAGCTCTCAGGTGCAATCATCTCCCAGTCTGACCCCAGTAGACTAAAAAAAATTCCCTTTATTTTGCAAATAATTGTATTCACCAACACATAGCCAGCTATCCAGGTAATATCAGAAGGATAAAATAAAAAGAGGATGAAGGTGAAAGAAAAGCAGAAGGATAAGAAAGTAGGGGGTATTAACTCACCACCTTGTTTTTTTGTTTTTTCCTTTAGTTTCTTCAGTTTGATTTCTTCAAGTGTCTTTATTCCAAAATTTAAATTGTCATCTGAAAACACAAAATGGTTAATGAAACTGAGGCTTAAATGCACATGCTGAAGAGCACAATTCCTCAACAGCTCAGAATTCCTTACAGCTCAGAACCTTTCTGTCAACACTCCCCTCAAGTAAAAAAAGACACAGAACAGATGGTATTTTGGTAAGCAATTGGCACCTTTCTTCAGTCCTACTCCCATCCTACAGGGTAAAACCTATAGTTTTAAGCATTTTAATCTATCTACATGGTACTAGATTCCTTTATCATTTGACATGGCTTTCCACAATGTTTGAAAGGACACATTTGCAGGCATTTAAACTCCATTCTGTGGCTCTATTTTGTTCTACAAAAGTAAAGAGAGAGGAGTTTACCTGTCTGACCCAATGGACGCTACTAGATAGGAATGAGCTCATGGAAATAACTGACTCCCATCTAGCAACCCTGTGTCCTACTGTATCTTTAGAACATACTGCTTTTGAATTATCTGTCAAATTCTCATTCCAATCCATCCTACGACAGCTGTCAGAATACCTTGCTTTGTATTAGCATTGGATTTCCTTGTGGAAATTATCCGCAATCCATTATGGGCTTCTGTCGTTGGTTGCTGGACAGGTGTTTTAGCTTCATCTCCTTCTTCAGAAAGTTGGTCTGAAAGGCAGAAATAAACCTATTCAGTTATGGAGTTGGGATTAGACAGATTTTTCACGTTTATGTAGCTCAAAATGAATTTTAGCCCACGTTTCCTAATCTGTTCATATTCTTAACTACAAACAGAAGCAATTGTTTACAGAAGGATTTTTTTAAAGTTACATATTGACTTGACAAACTCATAATAAGTGAAAGAGCTATACTTGGAAAATAATATTTAGGACTCCAGACTCTTGTCTGTAGCTTTAACCATACACAATTCAGGTATGCTGTGATTTATACATTCACTTAGAGCAGAAATGCTTCCAAATAAGTAAAAGATGCTCACCATCATCATCTTCATCATCATCTGCAGCATTGATTACAACTGGAGGATGTGTAGGACTTGGGACATTTTCAGAGTTCTCCACTTTCATCACCCCCCTCAGCTGTGGAGATGGATTTGACTGGACAGAAAGTTTGTTTTGCTGCAGGGACATCTGAGCCATTTTCACATCATCTTCTGCAGACTCAGGTGGACTTGGAAGCGCAGCTAGAGGAAAGAGAGGATCATTTGTAATTTGGCCATTTAAAACTTTGACCCCAATGTTGCACTCTCTGCACAGATGTGGTAGATAACCCACCTGGATACTAAATTTAGGAATTCCTACTAGTAGCCACCTGGCTACTAAATAGGAATTCCTATTCCCCACCCCTGGTTACACTGTGAGCAATGGCTTCCCTTCACACACAGATCTCACTGCCCCACCACCTAAAAAGGATTAAATGAGGGGAAAGCAACCTGAAAGGGAAAGATCACACAAAACACAGAGAAGCTGAGCACAAAAGAAAGACTTAAAATACCAGAATTACAATCCTTTTAGTTTAGAGCTTATGACTGCTGATTTCTCCCTGCACTCATAAATCAACAGTTAATTGATGTCTTTTATGGTATTGTACCCACTCACAAGGAACGTTCAAAATTAACTATTTAATACTTAAAGAAAAAGGACCTAAGAAACTCACTTTTGCTTGGTGGTAAGAACAGTCCATCAACATAACGTCCCTTCGCGTGATGAAAAGCACAGTTGGATTTTTGACAGCCTACTGGCTGATTCTCCCAGTAGCAAGGAATCTCACTGCGTTTTTTCTGAAGACAGAAAGAAATAAAAGCTCATAGTAACACTCAACTTAGATTTGCAAGAGACATAGTTGCACATCATGCCAGAGACAGGACTATTGAAATATCATTCCAGAGGTCAATTTATCACTAAAATATTTCAGGACATAGACACCAGTTTTGTGTAAGGTGTAACAATTATGTATTATCCAGCTTTCCTACTGTTCAGCTTGAGAAGACAGGCACTCACATGTCAATTCAGGGTGGGTTAAATTAATACTATGTGCAAAATACTAAGGGAAAATGTCTTAAATTGCCTAGTTAAATCTATCTGAATGTATCTTTTGGAGCCTTAGTTTCTTCCCATCTTTTCTCTCCCCACCCTGTACCACCCCAAGAGGTCAAAACAACATTATCTGAAGAAATCCAGGACAGAAGAGACCCAAAAGGCCATTATCAAGCCCAACCCTCTGGAGCCCAGTGCAGGCTGTTTACTACTGCCCTGCTCCAGCACATTTAAGCAGTCTGATCGATGTGGTTGCTTTTGCCTCTTAAGAAAATATCGTCAGCACCTAAACCAAAAATGTCTTGCTGAGATATACTGAAGAAATTGATTTTTCTTACCCCAATTTCCTCCCACCCCCCTCCTAGTAATAGAAACCAGTAAATCTATCATGGAAAAGGCCATTCGGTCCACCTACAGCAATGAAAAATGCTTTCAATGATATAGTTTGAGGACACATCTTTAGGCAAACACTCACATCGATTTCCATGTGTCTGAATCTGCAGATATTCCTGAAACAGCGACCCTCCTGCCAGAGCGTGCAGACAGTTTCATTTCCCAGAGCAGCTTCACAGTGGCGGAAGGAACAGCTGTCTCCCTGCAACCAAAAGAAAAATAAAACAATACAGCATAAAAAAGTGTCCATGCTATCAGAACTGGAAGCAGAATCTAACTGCTTATTAGGTTAACAGAAATCTGTATGTCTCTTCCCACGCCTCTCAAAAACTAAAAATGAAAATACAAACACCAAAGCAAAAGAAACCCAAACATACCTTGTTACATGTGGAATAGAAATAGAAGTAGCAATCATCTCCTTGGTTAGACATAATGGACAAATTCTTAGGACAAGCTCAGGTTTTAAGGGTTTGCTCAACAGGTACTTCCTCCAGCCTTGGCAAGAGCTGGCTTCACTCTTCTTGGACTGAAAGTCTTCTGCTGGCTTGATCAGCGAAATCTTCTTTTTAAAAGTAACCCTAAGGAAAGGTATCAATAAGTGAAAAATATTTAAGTAATAAGCATTTTTACAGCTGCTTTCTATTAATCAGATTAGTCTCTTAGGGAGGCAATGTGAAATCAGCTGGTCACAAGAACTATCACAATACTAAGAAAAATTTCTGTAAAACTGCATGGGTTTAGTCAGCAAGTGTTCTCCCTTGTGTCCTTAGTAATAGTTACATGCCTTGGAGCACGGAAAAAATTACCATGTGTGGCTGTAAGCACAACAAGAGAGCCACTTCTTAAAAAATAAGTTGTATATTTGAGTCATCAGTCAGTGATTAACTGCGGATACTAATAATGTTTTTTAAAAATACAACTGACATATTAAACATTATTTTCCAGTCACCATGGATCTTCAAGTTCACATACCTGGACAACTTCAGCAAAAGATATTGATCTTCAAAGACTTCCAGTTAACTTCTCCTGTAGGCCGAACCAACACTGAATCCGTGAATTAATAATAAAGGGGTAGAAAGAATTTTCCTCCTCACATTGCCAAGGGAACCTCTCATCCACAATTCAAACATAGGATGTGCTTTTAAACATCTTACAACTAATGGAGGAAGCAAGTCCATTTGAATACTGTCAGACTGGAGACAGCCAGGGTTAGTTAGCTCTTCAAAAAATAAAAAAACCAAAAAACCAAAAAAAAACAACAAAAAAACCCAGTGCATTTAAAGATGAACTTGTGATTCAAAGTGGCTGCAAAAATGAGGATCCATCTTCCACAGCCGGACAATTTAATTTTTATTTTTTTTTTAATTTAAAATTCAGTAAGCTGCAATTTCTGGTCTTCAAGATTTCTTCACCTATTAAGAAAACACAAAAACCTTCCCCCATCTTTATTACCTGTACAGCAAAAAACATTCTTGTGTGTATAAATACACAAATATGTATATACATACACATATGTGTTTATACACACACCAAGAGCGAGTGATAATAAAGTCAGCAAGTGATAGTAAAAATTAGAATTTTGGGCTATTTGCCACATAAGACTGCATAAAAAGGCTCTCATTTGGAGGGAACTGGCAAAAACGAAAAGATCTACATAATATTTTGATGAATATGTCTTCAAAGCTGATGCTTTATAACATGAGTGATTTCGGGGCCAGCACACAAATATGCATACATATGTACATGCATACAGTATAAACATATCTATACACACAGGCGTGCACAGTATATGTTGTATGATCTCCTTATCGAGAACAACTTTTAGCCCCGATCAGACACGTAGAGTTGCAATCAATTAACAGCAGGGAGACAGCAAGATCAAGGATACAGCAAGCTTTGAGAGGCAGGGAAATGCTCACTTTGCAAGTGGTATGGCTGCATGATACCAAGAATTTTGAATTACTTTGATTTTAGGAAAGAATTTGCCTACTTTTTACGTCATTGCAAATACTACAAGTTTGCCATCATATGCTGTTCCCTAATCCATCGTTATCTATTGCTGCAAGATCACAGAAGGTTTGAAAAGATGGCTTAGGTCCAATTCAACAGCCGATGATTTTTTGGTGCCACCAGAGTGGAAACTGATTTTATTTAGCCACAAGCAGGTTTGGTTTTGTTTATTTTTTTTTTAATGTGAAGTTAGATACTTTGATTGTTATTATTTTTTTTTTAAAGACACAAAATGCCGTAAAACCTGCAACCAGACCAGATAAAGTTCAAATTAAAAGTGATTCTGACTCCTTTCATTAAAATGCTGCACATTCCTGTGCAAACTATTTCTGACTCTTTTCGACAAAACTGAATGAAATAGTTCTTACAAATTAATAATAAAAGGTTGGAACCTTTTACTCACACAAACACTAGTGAATTTTCCAGGATATTTTTTTTTGGCAGGGAATTTTCCCAAATCTAAAATAAAGAGAGGAAAAGTTGGGTTCTCATATTAGTTATTGGTTTTTGACTGCTTGACAAAGCGAATAAAAACAGAAGTTAAGTGCAGGGCTTTCTTCCCTTCTGCAGTATCGATGGGACTATACACTTTTGACCTTTAGCACCTTCAAAAACAGACTTTGTGTCATGCATCTACTTCTAAAAATTACTGGTGCTCCTTCACGTGTAGAAGTTTGACAAGAAACTTTTTTCGAAATGCATTATCAATACCTTTGATAGTTAAATTAAATTGCAAGCACGACTTCTTCAGTTTGCACAACATTTAAATAGATGGCAATTAAGGACCACTGCTTTGCTGAGCAGAGGCATTCAGATACAAATCAGAATGGAATTCACCATCTAGACGGCAGCATTTCTTTTCCCTAGGAAGTGAGAGACACCTGTATAATGGATCATTACTATATCCACCACCATGGGGGGAAAAAAAAAAAAATCCCCTCAGATTTAGCTCTTTTGAATGCCCAAGCAGCTCAGCATTTTGCTTGTCGCCTTCCATACTCCTGAGCAGACTTCAAGAGCTGTTCAGAATTTGAATGGATCTTGTTTAAGGAATGGGAAAAAAGCAAAACTTTAAAACAAACAAAAAATTCAACAACCCTCCCCCCCCCCCCC